CCAAAACACAGAGCCTGCCATTAGATATAATTCAGTGGAGGGGTGTCGTGAGGGCGGGGCTCGGCGCCTGCCTGCAGAGCCTTCCTGTGGTCCCGCTGGACTCCAGGAGACAAGTCACAGTCCTGGCTAAACTGCGCGTGCCTCAGTGACTGTCTTCCTTGGGCTTCTCTTGTCTCGGCGAGGCTTGTGATAGGAGGCGGGCAGCAGATAGCCGGAGAGTTCATCCAGTAAGGGTGGCTGCCCACTGTTACCCAGACTCTGTCCCCTCCCTTCTCAAACGAAGAGAACGAGAGTAACTCCAGTGTTGTCCCTACTCAAGGGGCCGCCTCCCACTGGAGGAGCTAGATTGAGGCCACATAATCAGGCCAAGAGAAACAAACCTCGAAACCCGAGTTCCTCTTTCCTCACATCATTCTCCAAGGTTCTTTCTGGCAGAAGCAATACAATAAAATGGCTTTAGACTGGGCAACCTGGCTTCTCGCCCCACCCAGATGTGCGATCCCGGGCCAGTGATTAATTTGCCTTAATTTCTATATCGATATAATGAGAATGATTATCTTTAGGTTTAGGTTCTGCCTACATCCTAGAGACTTTATGTGAAAGAAATAAGTGACAGTTGAAAAAAGGACTTTGAAGTGTTAAAGGCGTTATGAGATCAAGGGATTTTTGTCAATATCCTCTGTTTCCCCAGGTCAGAAAAACCCTGGATGCCACCATGCAGACCTTACAGGACATGCTGACCGTGGAAGACTTTGATGTCTCCGACGCCTTCCAGCACAGTCGATCTACAGAGTCCGTGAAATCGGCTGCCTCTGAGACCTACATGAGCAAGATCAATATTGCCAAAAGGAGAGCCAACCAGCAGGAAACAGAAATGTTTTATTTTACGGTAAGTGGCATCTTGGACCCAGAACCCACTGTCTGCTGACCTGCTGGCAGTGACTTTTGGGGAGAAGCCTGAGCTACTGAGAGCCGGCAAAACCACATGGGTCCATTAGACTTAAGACTACCAACATGCTTTTAAAATTATGTTGCCTGGCTTGCTTTCCCAAAATGCAGAAAGTGAATTACCAGTGGGTAGCATTAGTATTGATCTTGGGTGATGGTTAATAAAACTTTCCTGCTCTAGGAAAAACCAGAGAGTTCTATTCAGTCGGGTGAGAGGAAAATGGCGAAGGGAATCAGGTGCAAGCCCCAAGTAGCAGCCCTCAAGTTATGTGGGTGGATTATTGTGGTGAATTGTCTTAAATTTGGTTGTGGGCTTTGCAAACAATGTCCTCAGCAATCCAAGCAAATTGCTCATGAGTTGCTAGCCCTTTGTGTAAAAATCCCAGATTAGTTACCTTCGTTTTGGCCAGGGGCAACAAGGAACAAGGAGAAGGGAAATCAGGGCTTTAGTTCAACATGCATCTGTTGAACATAGAATATTAGGGTTGTATAGGACCTTAAATCTTCCATCTGATGCTTGATTCTGTTCAGCCATATCTCTGCCAATAGATCATCCAGACTGTGCTTGAATGCCCCCAGGAGTGAACGCTCCTTCCTTCCCAGAATAGCTCCTTTATTTGGATTGTGACTGGCTTTGGATATTGTTTTCCTTTATCTTTGTTATCTTCCAAAACCTCCCTCTGCTAGGATCTCTGGCCATTGATCTTGATTCTGTTCTTGGAGCAACCCAGAGCGAGGCTGATTCTATATGACAGTCTTTCTCATGGTTGCAGGGGTCTGCGTTTTCATTTCTGCAGGCTAATGTATCTGATTCTTTCAGTCCCACTTCATGAGCTTTTGTTTTGAGTAGCTCAGCATTCTAGTGACTCCCTCCTGAACAGGTTCCATTTGTTGATGCCTCTTCTAAAGTGAGAGTCCAGCAGTGATCTGAGCAGCACAGAATAGAGCAAAATTTTTATCCCTTCCATACTAGGTACTATACTCCTATTCAAACATCCTAAAATCATATTCTTTTTTTTTTTTTTTTGGTTATTTTAAAGCTAATATCCATTAAGTCTCTCTTCCCCATGTGCTGCCATTACCAGGCCTCCATCCTCCTAAAGGCTGTGTAGGCGTTGTCTTGGGTAGGACTTATGTTTATCACCAGTTGGATCTCCTCTTTTTTTTTTTCCTTTTTGTTTTTTTTCGTGTCCGGCAACGGGATCGCAACCCTCGGTGTCGCGCCCACACCTCGCTCAGCCAGTGAGCGGGAACCGGTCTGTATGTGGGATCCCAACCCTTGGTGGGAGCGCCGCCGTGCTCTCAAGCGGCGCACTGTAGCAGTGCGCCACTGGGCCGGCCCCGGATCTCCTCTTGATGGATTCAGTTCATGGTTCTAGTCTGTCACCATCCTGATCCAGTTATTCAACACACACGCCATCTTTTCAGACCCTGTATCATCTGCAAATTCAGTGAGCATGGCTTCTATACCTTAAAGCTGTCAATAATAAAATCTAATGGATATGCCAGGGCCGAGGCTGAAGACAGACTTGTTAAACATATGCAACTAGGCTGATATTGGTTGGATGGACTGTGGTCATTTAACCCACCACAATCCCACCCAGCTCTAATATCCAGCTCCATCTTGGGACAGGCCTTGTCAGATCCCTCATTGAAAACCAATAGTTGACGCATTCTGCATTTCTTCCAAGTGCTCTTTGACCTTGTCAGGGAAGAAGACAAGGCTGATCTTAATGAATCTGCCCATGCCCATGCCTGCCATTCACCACTGCCACCGGGGGCCTGCTGTGTTCACAGCGAGGATTCGTGGTTAGGAAGATGAGCCAGGAGAGCATTGCCCCTCCACCTGTCTTCAATGGGGGGAGATGCTGGTGTCAGAGACCCTCATCTACAGGTTGAATTGGGGGTGTCTGGAGCTTCCGCGGCTTGTTCCTCTTCACCCTTGTCTCAAGTGTGCTGGCTGGGGCAGTAGAGTGAGTTTCTTTGTAAGAAACTAGCTGGTAGATTTGGGGCAATCACATCTACCTCCTTGATGTCATTCTCAGAGCTCTTGTAACAGCTGTTCCCTCTGCTTGCAAAGCTCCTTCCTGTAGGTCCCCACACAGCCCCTTCTCACCTCCACGGGCCAGGGCTCAAATGTCCTCTTTGCAGCGAGGATTTCCCAGGCTCCCAATCCACTGTTCTTGCTTTATTTCTATCCATAGCATTCACCACCATCTGGCCAACTGGCATTTTACTATTTGTGTTCATTTATTGTCTGTTTGCCACATGAGGGTGGGAATTTAGCTAAATTTCCAGCACCTGTTCCATAACAGGCACAGCTATAGGCACTGGGAATCCAGAAGTGGGTCCCACCCCACTGCAGCCTGCATTGCAGTCCAGCAAAGGCGCACCCAGTGGGGGTCCGGGCTCCTGTTTGGGCGGTGCAGGGTGGGGGAGGAGAGCTGGTCCCCGTGAGGAGGCATGGCTGAGGCCCGGGCTGAGCTCGGGGCAGGTGGATGTGTTTCTGTTCTGGATGGTACTCCGTCCCTCAGCCCTGCTCTGAAGTACGGGGGTCCGGGCTCCTGTTTGGGCGGTGCAGGGTGGGGGAGGAGAGCTGGTCCCCGTGAGGAGGCATGGCTGAAGCCCGGGCTGAGCTTGGGGCAGGTGGATGTGTTTCTGTTCTGGATGGTACTCCGTCCCTCAGCCCTGCTCTGAAGTATGCTGAGCCTGGCAAGGGCTCTGAACGAGAAGGCAGCCTGGAGCTGGCCCTGGCCCCCTGTGCTTTCTGTGGAACCTTGGGCATGTCACTTCCCTATGGCAGCCTGGCTTGTCTCATCTGTACAAGGAGGAAAACATATCACCCAATGCAGTTTGGGGTATTTTAGTAGGGAAGTCTCTCAGTTAGATGAAAGAAAAACTTGTCCTGAGGCTCCTCTCTGACATATCCAGTAAAGCTCTCTGGTCTCAGCTGTGGGGCCACTGGGATGGTTCCCATCTTTATTGCTGTTGTCCGGAACCGCAGCTGAGCTTTGTTGACTCTAGAAGCCCTTTGCTCTGTGCTCCGCGCAGCCCTCACCTGACGAAAGCAGCTCTCACTGCTCCCGTTCTCCCTGGGCTTTCTTTGTGCTCCCAAACCCTGACCTGCAAGGCCTGGAGCCCTCCAAGGTCTGGCAGCTGCGTTTGGCAGAGCTGGGGATCTGAACAGAGAAAAGCAAAGGAGCAGATGCAGAGGCCTCTCTTTTCCCCACACAGGGGTCCCTGAGTCTCTAAGAATGATCTGACCTCCCTTTGACCTCCCTGTCCCAGAGGTGAGTTCCAGAGGCAGAGATCCCATTACTTGGCCCTGTAATCTATAACTTCCTTGTGCCTTACGTCTTACAGAAATTTAAAGAATATGTGAATGGCAGTAACCTCATCACCAAGCTACAGGCCAAGCATGACTTACTCAAGCAGACCTTGGGCGAAGGTGAGTCAGGTGGGAGAGGCCCACCAGGAGGGGCTGTGCTCCCAGCTGGGTTTTGTTGTGGTCCCTCGAGCTGCAGAGCTGTTTAAACTTGAGAACTGGGCACTTGGCAGAATGAGGCCTGTTATGGGACCCACCTAACAGGACTGGGCAGGCCTAGACAATTCCCTTGTTTCAGATGCTGAGAGGGGTCTTGTCTGGCTGCAGAAAATAGAGGGAAATCACTAATCTTAGTGTTGGTTGTGGGGAGGGACCAGAACAAAGTGGCAGAGGGGTCCCCATTAGGTAGGGGCTGGGAGAATCCAGGAACCAAGTGGTATTTTTCAGCAGGTACTATTTGCCAGGAATATTATCGGAGTGCCTTTTAGGATTCTAGGTCCAGAGAAGGAAAATCCATATGTATAAGGTGGCGTTTGGTCCTTGAGGGACCTGGACTAGGCTTAAAACCACCCAAAGGCTTCTGATGACAGTTGGAATAAAATCCCAATTTCTCTCATGGCACATGCGGCCTTATTTCCTCTAGCGTCTGCCTGCTTCCCTGACCTCAGCTACCCTTCTCCCTTCCAGCCACACTGAGCAACTTTCTGCCCTTCAAAACTCACCAAGCTCGTTCCGGCCCCAGGGCCTTTGCATCTACCTGTATAACCACCCCCCAAATCAGGATATAGAACATTTCCATCACGCTCAGAAATTCCCTTGTGTCCCTTTGTAGTCAGTCTCCCCATTCTCTACCCCAAGCAACCGTTGATCGGATTTCTATCACCATAGATTAGTTTTGTGTGTTCCAGATGGTCAGAGCTAGGGAACTTTTGGGGGTGATGGAAATAAATGTTCTGTATCCTGATTTGGGTGGGGGTATACATTTGTCAAAACTCATTGATTGGAAGGTAGAGGTGGGGAAGAGTTGTAATGAGCTTTTTCTTCATTCCCCCTCCCCTAAATGCTATACATCCTGACATTCCAGTATTGGGCCAGGGCATGAGGGGGGCCATGGAGGAGTGTGGGTAGCAAAGAGAAAAGGAAAACATTGAGAATGGAAGGGAAAGGCAAGAGACAGAAAGTCCAAGAGGATGTCAGGGTGAGTGCGTAAAGAGCAGCTTCCGAGACTAGCATTAAAGACGAGGATTGCTTTTTGTGGGCATGGGGCTGGGGTCTGCTTCTCATGAGCTGTGTAACAAAAGGCAGGCCCATATGAGTTGGTGGCTATTTGTATTTTTGACATAAGGTGCCCTGGATTTAGAAAACTAGATGTTTTTCTGACAAATAAGATCTTGGATGAGTCCTCTGACGGGGAGGAGAGTGTGCTTCTCTCTGCCTGCTCTGTGAGTGCTATCAGAAGCAACCTTTTATTAGTGTCCTTGCCTGAATGGCCTTAATGAAATAATAATAATAATGATGATAATAATAATAATAATAATTAGTTTTGGTTGGCATACCTCCTGTCCATTTGGCCCTCCAAGATTTTTTAGTCTTCAACCACACTTCACTCTGAGATTTGACTTACCAGTCCCTCTTCCAAGTTTTGAGCTGATTAGCAACAAAAAAACTGCAAGAAAATGCAGCCTCAGAAGTATAGGGGCAGCTGAGAAAGAGCCATCTGGAAGAATCTCCATGATCCTCCTTTCTAGCAAGTCAACAGTGGAAAAGCCCACTGTGCTTTCTTTGAAAACTGGGATGGATTTGATTGACTGGTCAATTATAAAGAAGTTTTTTTTTTTTTTTTTAATAGACTTTTTGTTTTAGAATAGTTCTAGATTTATAGAAAAGTTGGACAGGTAGCACAGAGTTCCCATTTACTCCACGCTCAGTTTCACCTATTATTAACATCTTACATTAATATAGTACATTTGTCACAATTCATGAATATTGATACATTGCTATTAACTAAAGTTAATAAATTACTGAGTTACTGAAAAAACTGAAGCTGAATAAATGGAGACCAAATCTCCAGTCATTTTTGTATATCCACTACACAATAAAGGTGTATGTGGATTCTTAGCACATTGGGTGAAAGGGGGGGATTTACAACCAGGAGAATTTGCCCCGACTTAGATTTTTTTTTTTTTTGTCTTTTTCCGTGTCCGGCAACGGATCGCAACCCTCAGTGTCGCCCCCGCACCGGACCGGGACCGGCAACGGGATTGCAACCCTCGGTGTCGCTCCCGCGCCTCGCTCAGCCAGTGAGCAGGAACCGGTCTGCATGTGGGATCCGAACCCTCGGGCGGGAGCGCCGCCGCGCTTCCCAAGCGGCGCACTATCCAGTGCGCCACCGGGCCGGCCCAGCCCCGACTTAGATTGATGAAGTTCTTGCCCACTGGGTGAAGGGGCACATGGAGAAATTCAGCAGCCCAAAGAGAGCTCAGGATCTGAGCTAATTCATTCTTCTGCGTGTCAGCCGATTCTTCCTTCCTTCCTGAGCATTTTGATTTTTCACTAGTTGAACGCTGTTCTCAGAGTAGGGCTAGGATAGGGTTTCACCTGAATCAGTGGCTTTTTTGTGTCATCAGAGGGCTATTTTGTATTGGGAGGGACGATCTGGAAATTTTGAAAACAGGTGAGAAATATAGGATCAATGAAATATTTTGGCTGAAAAGATACAAGGCTTTTTTGTTGTTAATGAAATGATGTGCCCTATCTAGTGCCTTGATATCTCTAAAGTGCTCTTTTGACAGCATGGCTCAAAGAAACTACAATTTAGAGGAAACACAAGGTCTTTTGGTTCACCTTTACTTGGATGCAATTTTCTTAGTGAGATTGGCCCTAGAAATACAAATCAAAAAGCTTCTAGGTGGTCAGGAAATTGGCATTCTTTGTACAAATGATATCATCCCCATATCTTGAGAGCAAGAGCACACACTCTTATCTGCCCTTGGCTGTTGCTGTGTTGTTTTATTGGGCCATAGAATTTTCAGTTTATCATCATCTCTGAGTCTTAGATCTCTGAACTTTTTATTGCTCTGGGGTTTTGGTAGTCTTAAGCTCCAGGGTCTACACTCAAGATGTGGGTGGTTTTTCAATTTACTAAAGCCCCTCAAGGATGAAGAGAGCATTGTCTATAAAAGGGATGGCACATAACCTTTTCAGGCCAAGATTTAATAGCCCATTACAGACCAAATGGCCACCAGGACCAGACAGTCTGACCTTCTAGAAAATGACTTAGCCACCAACTGTAGAATATGTTTTAAAAATCCCAACAGGTCTCAGAAGGTAAAGGACATGGCATTTTTTGATTCCTGATATTTGTTAGAAGTTGAGACACCATATCCCTAAAGATGTTAGTAACTTGGGAGCTGGAATGTGAGTCTAAGACCGAAGGGTAATGTGTTAGATTCTTGCTGGAGGAAAGTCTGCCTTGAGTGTGTTCTGACATGCAACTCCCGTCCTAAACCCTTTGAGCCCTCCCTGCCCCTATCTGTCCATCCATCTCTCCAAAAAAAGGCACAGTGCTCGGCCAGACCTGGGGAGGCTGAGGTAGAGAACAGTTGTATATGTGGGGTGAGGGGTGGGACGACCTACTTTAGATTGGGAGATCGGAGAGGGCTTTTAGAGGAGGCTGAAGGATGAGAAGTCTTCAGCCACATGAAAAACTGGGGAAAGAGTGTCCGGGGCAGAGGGAACAGCATTTGCAAAGGTGGGAAAAGATGTGGTGAGTTAGAAGAACTAAAAGAAGGACAACATAACTGGACCATGGTGCGTCCACAGAAGAGTAGGCAGTTTTGGAATCAAGAGGAAATGGGGCAGGAAACGCTTTCTGAAAGTGCTCCCTATGAGTCAGTCACACTTGAATGCAACCTGAAGGGAAATGATGCGCTTTATGGTCAACCCTCCTGTTCTGTACCATCCCAGGCCATCGGCTGACCACTTTCCTGGGTTGCTGTTGGCTCTAACTGGACGTCTCGGGTCTACGGGAAAATTTAACTCAAACTGGTGTCTGCTAGGAATTTGCCCCAGACCCTGGACACACAATCATATTAAGCAGAACAAATTTGTCTGTTTCACCAAACTTTTCTCCTTTCCTGCTTTGGTCTTTGGCTCCACTTCAACCAACTGCAGCCACCCTTGTAAACTGCTTGTGGCTTCGGTCAGGAATTAAGGAATTGTGTGTCGATTCGCTCCCAGTTCTATTTTCAGACCTCAGATGACTCTCTTCCTCCCCTCTTTCCCTCCCTGGATGGCATTCTCCAGTCCAGACCTGTGCCGTCCAGTTTGGGCCGCTGGCCACATGTGGCTGTTGAAACTTGAAATGTGGCTAGTCTGAATTGAGATGTGCCAAACACACACCAGATTTTGAAGAGTTACTGCACAAAAAAAGAATATAAAATATCTTATTAATTTATTTTATTGATACACATTGAAATTATAATATATGTTTTTGATAGGTTAAATATGTTTTTAAAACTAATCTCACCTGTCTCTCTTTACTTTTTGTAATGTGGTTATTAGAAATTGTGGCTTGCATTAAATTTCCATTGGACAGCACTGGTCTAGAAGTTCTCAACTGAGGGTGGTGGTTCTCTCCTCCTAGGGGTGTTGGGAAATGGGGGACAGGTGAAGAGGAGATAGCAAGAAAAACTGAGGAGCAGCCATAGGGTGGGAAGGACACCGGGAAAGTATGGAGTCATGTAAACCAAGAGAAAGCTCTGTGAGAAGGAAGTAGTTAACTGAGTGGAATGGAGCTGAGAGGTCGGATAAGAGCAGGGAAGAGCATTGGATTCATCCACAGGGACATCATTGTTGACCTTAACTGTTGACCTCCACACGAGCAGTCTCAGAGTGGTGGGAACAGAAGCCGAACTGCGGTGGGGCAAAGTGACAATAGGAGGGAGGGAGCGACAGTGACTCTAGACAGCTCCTTCTGGAAGTTTTGCTTTAAAGGAGAGCAGAGAAATGGGGATACGGTTATGGGGAGTGATGGGGCCCACGGGGGTAAAAGCTAGGCTATGCATATCTAGAACATGTTCATACACTGATGGAAACGATTCAGAAGAGAGGAGATTGGTGATGCTAGGGAGAGGGGAGACACTTGCAGAAGTGGAGCTGCTGAGAAGGGCAGAGTGGTGGAACCTGGCGCCTGAGGAGAAGGTCTGGGCTTTGGCAGAGCGGGATGCTTCCTCCAGAGAAACAGGAGAGGAAGTGGAGGGTGTGCACAGGTGAGGGTCGGTGGCTGGGTCTCATGGAGGCACACAGATAGAGAACCCTGTCTTACTGATTTTCTTTTCTAATGAAGGAAGCCATAAGATCTTCAGCTAGTAATGAAGGCACAGGGGTAGGGTTTAGGAGCAATCAGAAGCTGTCTTATGCCTGGTGTCCTTCAGTGCCAAGCATGTGACAGGACCTCGGTCAATCTTTATTGACATAAAACAATGCAGGAGTTCTCAAACTTTGGTAGGCATAGACAAGATCACCTGAGCTTGGTAAAATGCAGATTCCTGGGTTCTTATCTCAGAGATTCTGATTTAGGAGATCCATGGGAGAACCCAGAAGTCTGCACTTTTAACCACAGCCCCAGATGTTTCTGACACAGCGGTCAGCAGACTGTGGTTTGAGAATCACTGAAAAAAAATGTATGTAAGCAATAAAATGTATGTGAATACAGCCCTACAAATAGGAGCTTTTAATAAAGAATTAATAAAACACCGTTCTTTCCAACAGACCATGCCTTAGGCATAATTAGATTTCACATTTCATAAGTAACTAAGTCCAGTTGTTTTCTTATTTTTAGAAAAAGACGAATGTTCTCTGGTTTTTAAAAAGCCCATTAAACATCAATGTGTACTTTTCTTTCAGGGGAGAGAGCAGAATGCGGCACCACCAGGTGAGAGCGCGAGAATCTTGTCTTTCACCCGCTGCCTGAGGTCGGGAGCAGGTTGGGGGTGGGGGTGGCAGACACTGCTGAGACCTAGGGAGGCCACCAGCGTCCCCGCAGGATGGTGCGGTGTGCAGAGAGGGCAGGGCCGCTGTCGTGGCCGCCCCGCTGGTTCTAGCATCAGGCTGGGGAGTCATGGCTCTCAGGCCGGCCGTGGGGAGGGCGCTTTCGGAGCTGCTGGGGGCCGCAGGCGTTTTCCCTTTGTGCTGTCCATGGAGTTAGGGTGGTGAGGGGACAGTAATATCTATTCCAGAGTGGCTGAGGGCGGCCAGGACAGGCGAGAGGCTGCGGGGTGGCGGCTGACCTCTCCCCCGACCTCTTCCATGGCTGCTGAGCAAAGGGCCCCGCCTGCCCAGGCTTGGGGTGTGGCCGGGACTGCGCATGCGCGCGCGTGCACACACGCCCGCACAGACCCCAGGAGGGCAATTGGATGGGCTGGCGGCAAGTGGCAGGGGGGCAGCTTCTGCTTTTGTTCCGCACCACACCTCTGCGCTTCTTCCTGAGCAGACCAGAGCCAGTGAATACCTTGCACTCAGAGCTGCCAGTTAAAGGCTGACTTGCTTCTCCCCCAGCTGGAACTCAGCTGGTGGCCTGGTGACCCAGAGGCCTGTGCTTTTCCATCATGTGGCAGTTGAGAGCTACTTTTGGCTCACTTTCTGAGCCCAGTGACCCGATGACATTCTTCCCTTCCCCACGAATTCTCCCCAGTGGCCCAGAATCCTGGAAAGCTGTCCTACTTGGCAAGAGCAAAGATGAACCCTCAACTCTCTCCTGCTCCTTGGAAAGGGAGTAGGCGGGGCGGAGGCTCGGAAAGCTCTGGGATTTTCAGTTTGCTGGGCCTGGGACCGGAAGACCGAGGGCTCTCCAGAAGTTCAGTCAGTGCAGCTGTTCCCCCGGGCCCAGGCAGTTTGGGAACATCAGGATGATTCATACCAGATGAGGCCCTTTCAGCGCGTGGGGCAGCAGCTGTGCAGGGTCACTTTCGAAGAATCTTCTAGAAACAAGCCTGTTTTTTTTTCTGGCAAGTGGATATTGTCATAGCCCCCAAACAACAAAAGTCATATTTTACACCAAAGCCTGCAAATAGTGAAGCAGATGGGGGACAAATTGAGCTGTCCCTCACTTCTTCCCAATTCCTAGAATTCATGCAGAAGAGTGCTCCAGCAGATTGCAGGAGAGGAGATCTGTGATCAAACCCTTGGCCAGGTCTCAGGGTCCTCCCTCGGGAAAGTTGAGGGTTTGTTTTTTGTTTTAAATGAAGCCCTCTGAGGTGTTATATTCCTCACCCTCCTTGACCTAGAGCCTGAAAAATCCAACCTAAGATGGCCAGACTTCCCACTTAGATACCCTGCACTAAACTACAGACCTAGTCCTATGCACTCAGGCCCTTGGCCAAGGTCAAATGCAACTTTATTAGTAAACTAAAAGTCTCCCCATACCTCCAAAATAATGATTTAACTTGTGGAACTCATGGCCAACTTGGAAGTGATTTTAAAATTAATCTTAAAGGCCCTGGGTGTGATGTCCCTGTATGATGGTTCTCTGTATCTTCCATAGATTCCTGCACATGGTCGTTGTCATTTTGGATGATCATTTAAGCAGGTTTCCTCAGCCAAGTTGCTGTTGACCTTATACAGATGGACCAGTTTTAGCATATGGGCTGTAACATGTTGTGTTTTTCTCACAGTTAAGAACTTTACCTTCGAATAACCCAAATTCATATTAACTCTGTAGTTTAGGCTGGCCAGGTGTGATAATAAAAAGTGTATTGTAAATGGCAAAGCAAGATACAAAAGCAATGTTTGATTACTGTGATTCAGGCAAAAGTCTGGCTTCCCTAACCCAGGTTGACATTCCCCCGTGATCTGAATTGTCCAAACGGATGTAACGTGGTACAAACCCATGCACAGCCTCCGAGAGTCTGATGCCATTGATTTACAATATTGCCACCATTTTTGATGTTGACATCCATGTCTATTCGGTTGTCTAGGGAAAATTTTTTATCACGTCCTTTTAGTCAGAGAATAATTTTGAGACCAATTCCTGTGTTGCTAACGTATGTTAATTTTCACCTTGGTTGAAAGGCAGAAAGGGGACATTGGTCTCTGGTTTCTCTTTCTTCCTCTCTGTGGCTGTCTCTGTGTTCCCTGCCTCTCTTTCTCTTTCTTTCCTTTTTGCTCTGCACCTGAGCAGCAGAAGAGATGGAAGGCTTAGGCTGCCCCACTTTCCTTGGCTGAGCTGCCCCCCTGCTCCCCACTTTGTGTCCCACCCAGCACTTCAGTAAGTCTATATAGATCTAATATCGTGCAAAGTTGGGATAGCTACGGTTCCTTGTCAGAGATTCCAGTCAGTGCACAGAGCACCGCACACAAAAAAAGAAATCCTGGTGGGATTCAAACAGTCCTTTGCTTTCTGGATTGGGCAGGAAAAATGGGAAAACATCCCATTCTCCCTTTATTCTACTTTGTAAAATTTAAAGAAAAAACAAAAACCCTTAGGTCTTCTTTTAAGGAAACCCTCCAGTTGGGCATCCTTGATTTTTTGATATTGGATGCCCAACACCTGCATTAAGAGTCTCCACTCTTGCTGGACGTGGGAGTTTAATAGATAATTTAATGCTACTGCTGGGTGTTCTATGATAAAATCACTTTCTCACACTAACACTTGAGCCTATAGTAGGAAGAGCTGAATTCTACCTCCCTCAGTCACATTTTATTTGTGTGGCCTTGAGCAAGTTTCTTCATCTCTCTAGGCTCATTTGCTCTCTGCGTAAAGTGGGTTTAATAATTCTTGCCTACCTCACAGGGTTGTTGTGAGGTTATCATACAGTGTGAGATAAGGAAATAATCTGGGAACATTCAAAAACAGAAACTCCAAACACTATGAAAACAAGGTAACAATGTTGCTATCCCCAAGTTATTCCTAATCCCAGAATTTAACACATATGGCCTTGTGTCACATTTTTGGCATTCTTTTTTGGCTTTTGCACTTGGAAATTCAAAAGTGAATTCATTGTGAGAAATCCCACCCCCCACATATACACAACCCAAAAAGTAAGTAATTTTTGAAAAAGAAATGACATGGACTTAGCTAACCAAATTGACATAGATCCAAGATGGGCTCGAAATAATCTTGCCTGTTTTTTTTGTTTTTGTTTCTGTTTTTCAAAATTTTGGTCTGTGCTGTTATTTTGGTTCCATTGTTTGGATGGCATGATATTTGGATTCACCTGAGTCTTGCCCATGCATGTCCTGGAGCTAGCAGCATTTGCTTATTCCTCAAACACCTGGGAGAAGTTGGTTAGAGTTCCCTAGGTGGTTGGGCTACTGAAGGAGACAGATGTGACAAACCCAGAAAACAGAGGCAGCATGAACCTCATTTATCTTGATTGCCTATACTGTCTATGAGATTTCTTGCTGATTCACAGAAATCCATCAAGACTTGGGGGACCAGATCTTTGCTTGTCGTGTGAGGGCATTATCTGTGCTGAGTCCCCACTCATTGCTCCCCCAATTTGGAAACAAGCCATTTGAAAATGACCTGCCTCTCTTGGTTAGGGACCCTCCTCCTAACCTCAGAAAGCCCTTTGCTCCGGAAGGCTGTCAGCACTGAGTCAGGCCGGAGTGGCCAGTGAAATGAGCAAATATTAGCCAGCACAGGAATATGCATGGTGAGCAGTTCTGGAAACGGGTCCAGTGTCTGTGGCTGTCTCCCTGTTCCTGGTGAATTGTGTGTGGTTTCCTCCTTGTGGCCAAGAGAGGAGCACAGGGAATGGAGATCCTAAAGTAAAGCAAGACACTTTCATCCTGACCCCATGGCAAGGGTTAATGGGGTAGATGAGTCCTTAGCTGAAATGAAAAAGTGCCCTAAGGCTCTGTGACTGTGGCCTGGTAGGAAAACCCCTGGACTTGGAGCCAAAGAGGCCTGGGATTGGGGCCCAGCTCTGTCAGTTCTCCTCTCTAGGCCTCAGTTTCTGCCTCTGTAAAATGGGGTCATACATACAAGGTTGAGGTGACGTTCAGTGTGATAGTGGATTTGAAAGTGCTTTAATTGAAAGTGTACTTGACTAAAGAATAGGATACTATCATGTTCCTGGGTCACCAGGGACCCCAAAGAAGCTGCAGCCTCGCTCCTGGCATCAGTTTCTTTGTCTCTGAAATGAGAAGAATCACTGCCTGCATCTTAGATTAATGAAATAAAGATTAGTTGAGTGCATTTGAAATGCCAGAAGGCGGTAGGCAGATGAGTGCCCTGGTACATCAGGAATTGAGACTTGGTGATGAATATAAGCCTAAATAATGAAAATGAACCCTCCCAATCATTTTTGAAAGTCTCTTGCTTTCTTGGGCTACCGATTACATCTCTCTCCCCTGATCCCCCCTCCGTCTGGTCAGCTTTGCAGGACGACAGCCTCTGATCAGAGTTTCAGTGGTTTCTTGGACACATACTATTTTCTGCCCTGTGATTTAGTGCATTTTTGCTATATGAGAGTTCCTCCTGCTTGGCATTGTGGGTAAATTGAGATCCCTAAAACATCCAGAGGCCTTCAGAGGGACAATGAAACCAACGTTGGGGGCCAGGGCTTCCACTTGCATCTCGTGTTCTCCTCCAGTCGTGGGTTTTAAGAGTGTCTTTCCCAGTTGTGTGTTTATGTTGGTTGCTTTCTTGATTTCTTTTGTTCCGTTTTCCCCTAGGCCCCCCTGTCTTCCCCCTAAACCACAGAAAATGAGGAGACCTAGGCCTCTCTCAGTGTATAGCCATAAACTCTTTAACGGCAGTATGGAAGCGTTCATTAAGGTACTTGCTGGGGAGCCATGGAGTCCGCGAATGCGCCCAATGTAATGGCAGCCTCTCTCCGCCCTCCTCCACTCCAGCTGGCAGCCCTGTTCCTACCAGAACTTACCACCTGTCCCCTCGGCCAGGCCCTGTTGAGCTAGTTCCTCACTGCAGCTGCTCTTGGCTTTAGTGAGGACTTTTGGTCAGAGCTGCTTTGCCTCTGACCAGTCGCTGCTAAGTGCCACCCATGATTCTCACCCCTAGGGGGAAGGATGAGGTCATGAGGAAACCCAGTGACATCCAAATGGGGTCAAAATGGCCAGCACAGCGGTCCCCACCAGCCACGCTGTACTGCTTCAGGAACGCAGTCCCAGCACCTGAGGGACAGTGAGAGAGAACCCCTTACCTCATTCACACCCACGTCTCCCAGGAGACTGATGGAAAGTGACACACACACACACACACACACACACATGTGCCTGTGGGCCGAGTTCTGGGGAAGGGAAAGGAAGGGGGAGAGGAAGAAAGGGAAAGTGGAGATGGGGGTCCCAAATTGGGATTGCCAAGGGGCATGGAAAAGCAAGGGCTGCTTTAGGATCCCCAAGGGGACTGGAGCATAGAAGATGCCTCAAAGGAGGGGTCCCGCTGGGTGCCCCAGGAACTACATGGAGGTGACCCAGAGGGAGTGGCTCACCATCATGAGAGGATGAGCTGTGCCCAAGGAGCCCCTCTTCATCCTCCCTGCTGTCACCTCCAAGACTTTCTTGTCAGTTCACCCTCGGCTCTGAAAGAACCACTCTCCATGGCCGAGAGGGGACTAGTTACTCTCCCGGTCCTCAGGGAGCTTAGAGAATGGAGCTCGGAAAGTTTGAAACACAGGAAGCAGAAGTGTAAGGGGACTCACGGTGAGCCCTTGTGAATTGTCCCCAAAGAAACAAGTTTTGTGAGAGTTGAGAGCAGGAAGAGCCATGAGCTATAGCCGATGAGGCTTCTTTAGGGGCTTGGAAAGAAGAGCAGGAATAAAGAGCAGAGAGAGAGGACAGAAGGAATCCTTTGAAGGGGGACAGAAGGAAGGAAGGCTCAGAGACAGGGACACCCTCCCTAATTTGCTCAGGTCTTTCAAAATGGCTGGCCAGTAAGGATGCTTGGAAGGAATTAACTCTTATCTGACAGTATTTGAAAATTAGCTGCTCTGTTGAATTAAATATTCTCTTACTAGAGACGTCCTACATATAATGTGTGACTGTAAAGCAATCTGACTTTATACCTCCTGACCGACACATCAGAAACTACTCAACCACACGAGAGTTTGCCCCTTTGAGGCAGTCACCGAGGGAAGCCACCTTCTTACTCTAAGTATCTGGCCATTGCCACAACTGCTAGGTCCATCTTCCTAGAGCCTGCAGGATGGCCTTCATCGGTGGTGCCCAGACTTTGTGTTAGAATGGACTGGGGACTGCACAGGTGACACCAGCTAGAAGGCACACATCCTCCAGCTCCTTAGCTCAGCCTCCGTGGGGGGCCTGGAGGAGACACAGCACCCAGCCCAGAGCCTGACCCACTGTACACGTGGCAAGAAAGAACAGTGCTGCCCTGAAAACAGGCATCTTCAGTGGCTTTCAGTGAAAGCAGAGGACTCGGTTCCTCCTTCTGGTTCATGAGGTGTTCTGACTCTACATCCCTCCCTTCTCCAGCCTTTCCCAGCTTGTATGTTCCCAGAGGTGTTCTCAGGGCCAGTGTGAAGGTCAGGAGGGCAGGAAAGAGAGCAAAGCCAGGTAGACCCTCAGGAAAAGCTACCCAGGGTGTTTGGTAGGAAAACATGGGAAGCTGTTTGGAATTTGAAATCAGGTGGAATCCTGTTGGACCCCATCCAAAGGGCACCTGATAAACATGATCTCGGGAAACCCAAACATTTTACCAAGAATGAGCTCCTGAGCTGAATTCCAGGGGCAGTGTTACAGTAGACGTGAAGTTGGGCAGCTGGGCTTATCCTATGGGGTCTTAGGTAGGTCCTTGCCCATTGGTGAATAAACAGTCCCTTCTGTTGAGGAGAAGTTAGACATGGGGATGGGAATGGGATTAGTGCACACAGTCCCTGCACCTGGACAAGGACTGAAAGAAGCCCTGATGTCAACTGGTGTCTTGGTAGGGAAGCTAAGGCAGCCTGGCTGGGGACAGCTTCTAGATGTCCTACAAGGCCCTGAGGCTTGGGTGGCCCTCCCCATGGGCAGGCTATGTGGCAGACTCCCCAGGACCTTTGCTGGCTGCCATTGCATTCCGGCGTTCATGGACTCTGAAGGATCTGCTTACTCTAACTGATCTTATTCCTGCATAATCTTTTCTTTTTCTCCTGCTCTGCTGCCTGTTTATTTTTTGTTATCAGAGGAAGAAGAAATGCTCGAACCAGGAACCAGGTATTTACTAGAAAGGCCCGTAGCCCCATGCCACTGGATGGAACCTGTCTTTAGTACTGACTTCCAGAACAGACCCCCACCTTGCCTGTTGCCGATGGGTCCATATTCCTGTCCTCTCCCTGACCACGGTTAATCAAGGAAAGAATTCTCGGGGGGGTGTGGAGGAGCCAAGAACACATCCAAATCCACGCTGTCTTACAACAGCATATTACACATGCCTCCTCGTTTCCTCGCCTTCTGAGGAGGCTAGCAATTTAATTTGGCCCCTTTTTAAGAAAGTTTTTTTTTTTAATGATGCTCTTTAAGTGACCTGAAATAATAGAGAGGTCAACCAATCATGGAATCCAAAAGAAAACTGCTCCTTTCCCAGCCATGTGAGGCTATCCACCAGTCCAGGAAGATGTGATTGAAAATACGTTCACAGCCTGGGTGCATATGTTTACAATCGCATCTTATTCAGACTTTTTGACTAAGGTTGACCACTAGGTGGCCAGTGGCTGCCGTTAGCTGCACCTAGAACTTTCCCCTGCTTACCATTAAGGTATGCACCTGGGTGTTTAGGACTAGTCTTCCTTTCTTAGACTAGTCTTTCCTCTTAGTTCAAGAGGACCCCTCGGGCCAGCCTTTGCTCCCCCACGGCGTGTCCTTAATTCTGGCATCAGGTACTGCAGTAGTAGGACGTGTCTTGATCCTGCCCTTTCATGCCTGAGCACTGGGAGAGTAGTTTTGAGTTGGGGCAGACTCCAGCCCCTCCACGTGGTGGGTCCCCTCTCCCTTACCCCACATGTGCCTGTCAAGCCTCTTCAGCCCAGATTCCTTGACAACTGGGTAAGAAGACAGAGCATTTCTTTAAATTGTCATAGCTATGCCTTTTCCTGCACATAACTCTAGACTTTCTGTTGTAACTGTCCGTGGAGACTTTAGGATTAGCAGTTCCTTGCTTGTTTTCCTACTAATCTCATGGTACTAATATTCTGGCTTGAGTTTATAATCTGTGTTTGCAATGTCTTTTTCCTGTGGTGATTTCCTAGCCCAATAAAACTCACATTACTTTTTTCTTAAGGATTCAGGACAAGCGATACCCCTTGTAGTGGAGAGCTGCATCCGATACATCAATTTATATGGTAAGCTCAATCTTGGGTCGCGTTTTCAGCTCTCTGCAAAACAGAAGCTAGCTGTTCTGATAGGAAATGAGATTCTAATTCATCTTGGAAGGCTTCCTGTCACTGCTGTGCTTCCGAGGGAGAAAGTGCTCCAGGAACAGCTGCTGTGCTCTGAGTGCTGTCTCTTGAGCCGCGTGTGCCAGGGAGTGGCATGTAGTGGTGAGAGGACTTAGCACCTAGGAAAACTGAGGAGCAGGGAGGGCAGGGACAGGAGAACCATTTCAGTTCCTTCCTCACTCCCACTCAACCCCAGAGCTCTGTGCTTTGAACATCAGTTAATACTATCAGATTGTTAAGCTCCAGGAAGTAAATAGCATCTGGGATTTGTTAACCATAGTGTCACCAGAACATAACTTGTGCTTATCCACTCACTCATTCCTCCAAATATATGTGTGTATATATATATATATATATATATATATACACATACACACACACACACACACACACACACACTGGGAGCATAACAGGCACTATTTTGGACAATGGAAATACAGGCACGAGCAAGACAGGTACGACACCTGCCCTGGGTAGCTGACATTTCCAATTAAAAAGGAAATAGAAAATAAACAAGCAGAAAAATAAATAATACCATTTCAGGTAGTGATAATGCCATGAAACTGATTAAAAGGGGATAGAGAAACCAATTAAAAAGGGATGGGGACTGCTATGGCTAAGGTGGTGAGAGAGACCTTTCCGAGGGGGTGATATTTGAACTAAGTCCCAAGTGAGTAGAAGAGGCCAGCCACGCAGCCCAGGCGGAGAGAAAGGAGCGGGGCAAGTGGAAAGGTCTCAGAGGGGAAGGAGGTCAGTGAGGCTGGGCGGTCATGAGCCAGGAGGGTGGGATCAGAGTCTCGGGTGGAAGAATTTCAACACTGTTTAACTAAAGAGATGAACAAGCATTTACTGAGCACATACCACACATGACCCAAACTTTGACTAAAGCCTGCCTATTAAACACTTCCTAGATTATAATGTAGGGAATTGCTTTATATAGAAGAACTGAGACAGGGAAAGGATCACAGCCTCCCCCATTCATTCCCATTTGAGATGAGGCGAGCCCTTTAATTCCTTCAATTGTATGGGTTGCAGTTACGCCGTTACTGTTGTGGTCTCCTCTTTGTATGGCCTTGTAAAAAAATGAGATTGTTTTTCTTTAATTATTTAATCTCACCCAAACTCCTTGATTCCCAGGCCAGAATGCACTCTAGAGTCTAGTTTTTCTTGAAGGAAGATGTCTGTAGGGGGAGTGAATAGTGTTGATATGAACTTCTTGTGGCCTTTTCCTTCAAGGAGATCACAGACATATGAAACAGGATGTGTCTGAGTATTTTTGGCCAGCTGTACCTCATTGCAAAGGCCATTGCTGGGCATCTTCCAGGAGACCTTCATTAGGAATGACTGTAATAAAGGACGGGGAAGAAAGACATACAATGGGGAAAGTCACTGATATTCCCAGTGGTCTGATGAGCTCAAGGTCTCATGGCATTTACCATTTTCTTTTTTTTGTTTGTTTCTTTTTTAGGACTCCAGCAGCAGGGGATCTTCAGAGTGCCAGGATCTCAGGTCGAAGTCAATGACATCAAAAATTCCTTTGAGAGAGGTGGGTGCAGAGTGGCCATCTCAAGCTTGTGGCCAGGGGAAGCCAGGGTGGGTGTTAACATGTCTCTTAGAGCCAGCAGTGTGCAGGAGCCAGCTTGCACAAGTTTGCAGGAGCTGACTGTACTCACCTCCTCCTAACTTCACATTCAATGACTCCACCCTGGCAACTTGAAATCAGCCATGGCTGGAGTTTACACCACGGAAACTGGCAAACACTGAGATCTTTTAGTTCCGCTCCAAAGAGCTAACTGTTAAATATTTCCCTGAAATAGTTCCCTGCTACTACTGCTGCTGCTCATGGGTGACTTTCTCCCGTGGACTGTACAGTGGTTGGTAAGAGGGCCTTATGAAGAACTCTGGAATATTTATGTGAGTCTGTAAATGATGCTGCATTTTAGAAAAGTTGTAAGAACACAGATAACACTGAGTGGCCTTTAGTGTACTTTAATTCTTAATTTTTTTATGCAGTGTTTTTGGCAAGCCACACTTTGGGAAGAGACCATGTACTCCCCCACCTCTGAAGAGATTACCTAGTTCCCACTTTGATTATCCAAAGGCATAAGAGCTTATTAAAAGTGAGGTGGCCACCAGGACAGGACATGTGATTGATTTTGTATAACCTCCCTTGGCCTCAGAATCCCTGATGGAGACAGATGGCCGGTTGACAGTGTCCATGCAAAGTGAGGACTCACTGGGTCAGGAAAAACTGAAGTCTTCTTATACCTCTGCCTTTGCACAAGGGTACTTCAAAAAGTTCATGGAAAGATTTGTATTATCTTTTAATTCTATTTTTCTATGAACTTTTTGAAGTACCCTTGTGTACTCAGTGCTTATCTCACTACTGTAGTGGAATGGAAAATCCATGCATTTTTATTCAAATACATATTTTCAAATGTCATTCTCCTTGGTTCTGGAATAAAGCCTAGTATTAGCAAGTCCACATCCTCATCCCAGGGGAGGAAAGAAGAGTTAGTATATAGGTATCCCAAGCAATAACTCTGCCTGCAGTTTTCTCACATTTGGGAAAGGGAATATCTCCATAGCCCATCCTTTCTCAACTCTGGTTTACTGCCTTATTCTCTGAGTGGTTCAGATACTGGGGAACCAACCCCAATACCCCAATCCCAAGCCCATTTACTAGCAGTATATCACATCCCAGTGGGTCAGAAAGCACTTTCTTTTATGTAAGCGTCTAACAGCCTTGGGAGGTGTACAGTTTATCCCTGTTGGCTGTGCTCTGAGTGGGCCTCTCCCTGAGGTTTCACACATAGGATTCTCCCTACTTACAATCTCACTTCCCCTGGAGGAGCTGCCTCCTGAGCAAATTCTCTACCTCCTGGTCCTCTCAGTTCCATCTTAAGGTCTAGCTCCAGAGTGGAAGAAGTATTCTGCAGCCCCCAGGCACAGACCCTCTGTGGCCCTGTGAACACTGGCTTGGAACCAGGTGCAGAGAGCAAGATTTGGCTGGATGTGGTGCTCACTGGCCTCCTAGGAATCAGGGGAGCTTCAGTTCTGGAGTCTACTTCAGGATCTTGGACACTTAGAACCAGAAAGCTCCAGAATCCCCCTGCCCCAAACTCCTTCCCAGGCATTTATTCATTCATTTGCTCAACAGCAAGCATTGAGCCCTAAGCTGTATGAGGTAATGAATTGGGGCCTGGAAATAAAATATGAACAAAACACAGTCACTGCCAGCTGGGGAGCCAGTATGGTAAATAGACAGTATGATCTGCTCAACAGCAAGCATTGAGCCCTAAGCTGTATGAGGTAATGAATTGGGGCCTGGAAATACAATATGAACAAAACACAGTCACTGCCAGCTGGGGAGCCAGTATGGTAAATAGACAGTATGATCAGTGCAAGATGGAGTAAGTACTAGGTAGCACGGGAGCCCCAGCTGGGCTTGGATGGAAGAAGGAGGAAGAGCAAAGCCAGGGAAGGCTGCCTTGGGAGGAACTGCCTATGCTGAGGCTTAAAGAGTAAGAGCCAGGCAAGCAGGGGTAAGGGAAGGGCATTCCAAGCCAATGGAACAGCATGTGCAAAGGCCAGAAAGCAAGAGGAATCTCCCATCATCATTCCTGATGCCCTGAGCCTCTCTTGATGTCACTGGACAGCCCAATTTTGTTTCTTCATTTCCCCCAACTTGTTAGCACCTGTCCTAGTCTGTTTCATGCTGCTATAACAGAATGCCACAGACTGGTAATTTGTAATGAATGGAAGTTCACTTGGCTCATGGTTCTGGAGGCTGGGAAGTCCAAGAGCCTGGTGATGGCATCTGGCAAGGGCCTTCGTGCTGTATCATCCCATGGTGGAAGACATAAGGGCAAGAGAGGGCAAGAGCAAGAGAAGAAGGGGTCCAAACTCGATTTTTTTAAAATTAGGAACCCACTCCTGCAATAATGGCATTAATCCATGGTGACCTAATCAACTCTTAAAGGTCCTACCCCTCAACACTGTTGCATTGGGATGAAGTTTTCAACACCTGAACTTTGGGGAACACAATCAAACCATAGCAGCACCCTGCTTTCCTGTGTTCATTGTAAATGAACAGAACTGTGGTCTAGAACCTTTGCTGGTGCCATTCTCCTGAGCTCATCCATTATACAGAATTCCTTGTCACCCTGCCTCGAACCTCATGGGGAAACTCACTGCCTGGTGCCTCCAGTTGGGCCAGCACTCGCGCTTGGCCGCTTCTCTGTGTTCTGTAGGCAACGTTGTTGTGACAGGCAACCCCACCCTTTCCCCAGCCAAGAGCATTGCTTTCTTTTCTTCTTGAATGTGATTTTCTGAGGTCAGCACCTCCTGTCACTTGCTTGGCTGCTTTGTGGGGGTGATGTGCAATTTAAAAGAATTCTCTGCTCCTAACAAGCTTTGGATCGCCACAGGCAGAGCCCAGCTGGGCAAAGATTACCTGACCCAGATCTCAGCTGCAAAAAATCTTTTCTCCTTGTTGTTTGCCTCCCGTATGCAGGTGCCCCCTCCCTCTCCCCATTGCTCCAAAATGAACCTCATTCTTTCACCAGCCTTTCTCTTCTGCTCCACCTGAGCCCACAAAGAAGCGTGTCTTCTAAAAGAATAGTTTCTGGTATGTCTCTTTTAGAGAAATCTGCTCCTGGCTTTTCTGAGCTGGCCGTATCCAAATTTCTCATGTATTCTTTTTTGTTTCTTGACATTCACCACCCAGAAGGCCTGGATGGTTCCTTACCCAGGTGACCCTCAGGGACACTTCCTCTCACCTCTCCTCAGCCTCATGTCTTCCCTCTTCCTGGCTCACCCACTACATTTTTCCACGTTCCCCTGGCGACCAGGTGGCCCCAGCCTGGGCACAGCTCAATATTTTTCTCGCCCACTCTTCACGTCCCACATGGTCTAACTTGTGACTGAATTTCCTCTTTAAACCAGTACATTGTGTTTTTCCTTTCTTCTCTTTATTTTTAAAAATTTAAGTCCTGTAATCCTCCCCACTTAAAGTTTCAGTGCCTCTCCTTTGCCGCTTGTTAAAAGAGATTTGGGAGTTGTGCGTCGACCCCATTTTCCCCTCCCCAGCGCACATGTCTCCCCACTCCCTGCATAAGGCTGTGGAAGGGAGCATGTTCTCTTTTCCTTAAGCTTCTGAAAAATCCTAGCATGTTGCAAATCCAATCTTGGCTTATTATTCCCAAGCCTACTTTCTTTTTCTTCTGATGCTAGTCAACCAGGGTTTTAGCTGGAGTTATTTTTGTTGTTGTTGTCAATAGATCTTAAACTCATGGGTTGAGTTTTGGAGATCTTCCTCTGGTCTTCTGGCAAAAGGAGGGAGAAAATGTGAAGAAAAGGCGGGAATGAGCAGCCAGGGCGTGCACAAAGCCATTGCATGCTCTGGTCTCCCTGGCTAGTTTCGTGCCTCTCTGTCGCCTCCATCCCCAAGGCCTCTCCCCTGTATCCCCTTTGTGTGCATGGATGAGAGAGCTGCCAGGGTCTCTCCTTATGTGGAGGGTGTGGCTGGAAAGGGAGGCAGTAGCCCTTCCACCCATGCAAGTCAAGACAGGGTTTGGATTTGGAGCTGGAGTCATGCCATGCAGGGGCTGAAACATTCTAGACTCTGGACCTGACCCTGCTGAGATCTATTTCCTGCCTCAGGAAGAGGGATGTGACCAGGAGATGCTGGGAGGGGCTGTCATGTCGAGGAGGCTGGATGGACCTGTAGCCGCAGAGAACTGCCCTGGTGAGAGTGACCTCCTCCCAGCTTACCCACACACTGTGTGTTCAGGCCCTGCCCTGGGTACAGCCCTGCCTTAAGGTGTCTGGCAGTGCCCAGGTGATCTGGCTAAGAGTAAGTCACAGGCAGGGATATTGGTAACAATTCCACCTCCCCCAGGACATGAGCCAGCACAGTGTGAACACAGCTTTCTCTCAGACTTGCCTGGAATTTTAGCTCTAATTCTTCTTAAAGAAAGCCATCATTCATACAAACCATTTGGCTTACCTTCAGCTCTGGAATTCCATTCATTTCTGGAGCCAGAACTGACTAGCCTTGCAGAGAGCCAAAGGCCTGAGCTAACAGAAAGGAATGTTTGGGTGGCTCCATGTATGGCCACAGTGCCTCCTGGGAGGAAGGGTGGACTAATGATGTGTGTGTGCATGCACATGGACGAACATAAAGTCCATATGTTAGTCATGCTCAGTGATGGGAAGCCAATAAGCAATGTGGAGGAAAAAATCCATGTGTTTTTGAATCATGAGAATCACGAGACCACAAGAATGATGTGTGGTAATCATAGGGAAATAGCTTAAAATAGTGGCGGTTTTGGATTCCTTCCTTAGCAACTACAGGGATAGAGAGGGCGACTGAGGAGGTGGGGCTTGGACAGCCCCTCCCAATTCAACTAAGGCGGCTTTGTTCTATATGCAGGGTATGTAGGGATTTCATAGGAACTTTTTTCTTTCTTTCTTTCTTTTTTTTTTTTTTTTTTTGGTGCTAGCCAGTAGAGGGATTTGAACCCATGACCTTGGTGTTACCAGCGCCATGCTGGAACTTTTTGCTTGAAAAAGGAAAAAAAAGGATGGGATTCTACTGTAAAGGAAGGAGGGAAGGGAGCAAGAAAGGAGGGAAGGAAAGTAGATGGATAGATAGATACATGCATAGGCAGGCATGCACGTAGACAGGCAGACAGATCAATCTGAAAATCACAGGTATAGGAAATAATATCACCCAGTCCTAGAGGGAAGGGAGCAAGAAAGGAGGGAAGGAAAGTAGATGGATAGATAGATACATGCATAGGCAGGCATGCATGTAGACAGGCAGACAGATCAATCTGAAAATCACAGGTATAGGAAATAATATCACCCAGTCCTTATGAGACTTGGGAGCTGCTGGCATTTGCTTTGACTGCGTTAGTGCGGGCACGTTGCTTCACTGCTTGGGGCCTCAGCTCTCCTACAGGAGAGAATTGATGGTGTCAGATCCACGCCTCCCTTGGGCCTTGCAATGCTGTCGTGAGGATTAAGGGAGTTCACATGCGGCAAATGTTTTTCTCACTTGAGAAGTGAGTACAGGCAATTATTTTTTATATCTTCTCTCTTCCTTTCCCATAAGGGACTTAACCCCAAGACTTCCTTATGGGGAAGGAAGGGTTCTGAGCACAAGGTCAAGGGTTTGGATCCTTGTACTGGCCAGCTGCCAAAATTTTTTTAAAAAAAGCAACAGAAACAACTACACATGCATTTACCCTTTGACCCAGCAGCCTACTTCTAGGAACTTACCACAGAGATACGCTTCCATGAATACAAAAACACATGTGCAAGGATACCCACTGTGGCAATATTTATGATAGCAAATTGTTGGAAAGAAATCAAATGTTGATCCATAAGAGATTGGTTGAATAAATTATGGTCTATCCACGAAACAGAGTACTTTGTAGCCATAAAACACCACCAGCATCACCAAGAGAAGGATCTCTATGAACTGATGTGGAGGGATTTCCAGGATCAGTTGTTAAGAAACAAGTTTCTATAGACATATACTGTTTTGTGTAAGAAATAAGGGGAAATAAAAAAATCAGTTAAGAAACAAGTTTCTATAGACATATACTGTTTTGTGTAAGAAATAAGGGGAAATAAAAAATACTTATATGTATTTGCTCATTCTTTGCAAAAAGAAACACAGCAGGATAAAGCAGAAACTAATGAAAATGGTTAAATGTAAGGTGTTGAGGGGAGAAGGGTCAGAATAGGGCTTCTCGGAGTGCATCTTTTTAGCTGGTTTTGAGTTTTGGACCCCATAAATGCTTTATATTTTCAAAAGTTAATATTTTAATAAAAGGATTTCGGAAAAGAATAAATATTCAATCCCTAAAACTGAATACAAATAGAAACAAATAATCTGTGTAATGAATTGGTAACCACAGAGAGTGACTTTTGAACATGTACTCTGATCATGCATTTTTAACAGCTTTATTGTTACCTACTGTAAGGTTCACCCATTTTTAAAGTATACATTTCAGTGGTTTGTAGCATATTTACAGAGTTTTGCAGTCATCATTATAATCTAATTCCAATTTTTTTGCACCATCCAAAATAAGAACATTGTACTTCTTTGCAGTTACTCCCTATATCTCCGAAAGTCCAGCCCCCAGCCCTTAGGCTTCCACCAATCTACTTTCTGTCTTCTGACCATCTATCTTTAGTGGGATACATTCTGAGGACCAAAAAACAAAACAAAAATGAAAACAAAAGCCCTGCAAAGAAATTTTAAATTTTGGGCCCACCCGGTGGCGCACTGGAGAGTGCGCCGCTTGGGAGTGCGGCGGCGCTCTCGCCGAGGGTTCGGATCCCATGTGGAGACCGGTTC